TACCTCTGTGTATTAATTACATCGGTGTTTGACTAACTCTTTAAAAAAAATAGCAAACTTATTTGCATGGTCATTTTTAGAAGCCAATAAAATAAAAATACGCCTTCTCTAGGAACACCTTATTTGTTATATTTGGGTTTCAGAGGTAGAAAAATATGGTGTGTCTAGAAATGTATGACTATCTTACAACGATTTAGACTTCTTTTTTGGCTAAGTAAAATATCAAATTGATAATTTGGATCATAAAGGAAATGTATCCCTATAAAGAGGAACCTGCAACGAATAAAAACAATGGAGAACAACTTAAGCCCACCTTTATTTTGAAAACATGAAAATATATACAAGTTTTTAAGACAAATTTTGGACAACTGTATTTATGTTTGAAGGATATTTTTAAATACACTTGCATCTTCATTCTTTTTTTTCCTCTTGTCCAATTACAAAAAAGGTAATTTAAACTATAGGGAAATTACCACCATAAATATTTATAACTTTAAATTAACTTAATAACTATAAAGTAGGAGATACTAACCAACTCCGAGTTTAAGTTACGGCTTAGTATTAAGCAAAAACTTACAGTAAACGGCTTAATTTATAACAGCTTTATATCAATTATAATTTTCTCGAAACTGTTTATTTTTTTGTATTCAAACTCCCAAAATATTTCGGAAGAAGCTTCATCGTAAACTCTTACATGAATAATCAAGTGATGAAGTTATGTGTAAAATTGAAAGCGTACAACATCGCAGGATTTTAATTGGTTCCAAGAAAAGCGATACTCTCTTCACAGGTATTTACTTGCATAATTTACCTTTAGCATATAGATGAGAGGCTGATTCACTTGGTATTTAATTGGAGTAAGATTAAAATAGAATATAATTTTAGTGAAATTAAAAATTGACTTACAAAGCATATTTTTTGGAAGCTTGTACATTTTTCCCCATAGTTGAAACTGTTTTATAGGATTATTATAAGAAACCTCTTTGCTAATTTACCACTATACTACAAACAAAATTAAAATGAGTTATAATCGGTTGTAGTTCAAATATTTTGTTTATTAAAAAATGAACTATTTTAGGTCTATGTATGTATATAATACAAAAACTAAACAAAAAACCCCCATGAATGTTGGTGAATGTGCTTTATATATAGGTTTTCTTTTCTATCATTATCATATTACTACCACATGTTCTACATCCAGTAATAAATGTTTCACCGGAACAGCTCATATACTGAAGTACATGCTTCAGCAGTGAAAGTCGCATTTTGCTTTGTAAATATTACAGTTGTTAATTCCCTGTCTGTGTGCGCACTATGAGAGAAGAAATTCCAGTTCTCCCTGAACTAATGACGCCTTTTGTTCTTTATAATGTGTCACACTCAAGCTCCATCAGTGTTTCAATTTACAAGTCTTTCTTGTAATTTTAAATTACCCAAACACGTCATATCCGTAGAGTTTAAAAATATACCTTTCTAAATTAATTCTAAATTGTAAAAATAACCTTTTATATTAAACCTCTGTAAATTTTCAGTGATTGAATATTATTTATCATATGGTACTGTATATTTGATAACTAGTTTGACACTCTCATAAAAATAAAGGCGATACTGTACCACAATAAATAATTGCCCACTTTGATATGTTATAGATATAGGTTTAACCCATTTTCATAATCATAGCAAATAGTAATATTCTTGCAATGTTTTTCTTTTAAAAAACATTCACTACATGAAAACCGTTGCTTATAATATCGGTGGTATGGATCCAATAAACTAATTTATGTGACTTACTATTTTTCTAAAGCTAGGAAGAATTAATAATTAACGTGGGAAATATGTATTTAAAAATCTAAACCATAATGTTTCTCTCAATTAGCCTTTTGAATTCTGATGCAAAAAATATTGTGTTGATACAGAGTTATGGAAAATTCGGTAGTCACTTGTAAGAGATTACTCTTTATGACGTGTTCAACTTTATCGATATTTTACAACAAGTGGGACGAAGAAAAAATTCTATAAAAAGTATCTTAGGATGATATTAACAATTTTCGTATATAAGTATAATAAATAACATCATAAGAGTGTTAAAACTAAATAAAAAACACATTCATAAATCAAAAATATCTTAGAACCACAAAACTATATAGTGTGTACAAAAGAAGTAAGGTTTTAAACTGACCAAATATGAAGTAAGTAAATTTTAAAATATGAAAATTAATCAAACATTAATCCTTAATCTCCCAAAAACTTTACTAATTTATTAATAGAATACATATCATGGAATGTGAGTCAGTTAAGGGTCGAAAGTTAAGAAAAAGTGTAGAATCAATCACCATTCTTAATCACCACACCTCCTTTATCTATTCCGAATTTCATTATTGATTTCAATTGTCCGTTGATAAAATTTGTTGAAATAAAAAAAGAAATACTAAAATTGACCATGGCTTAGCTGTAGCGGTTTAGAAAAAAAATATTTTGCTTTAATCAGTATCTGAGAATGTGAAAATAAATCGAAAGTTATATAAATGTGTAAAAGTAAGGGAAGAACTGTAAACATACTCAGTAACACATCAGTTCCCCAGTAAAGTCTGAGGAAATGAATCCCAGCTGCCAGCATACACCAGCATTACCTTCACCAACTCCCTTGGTGTGTTTTAAACTAACTTGCCACAAACTTGGCAAATTGAACCGAAATATGTAGAGTCCCTAGCAAGTCATTCTGCTGTTCTTGTAATTTAAATGCAATTTTATTACAAGAACTAAAATGGCAATAGCTACAATATAACCAACTCCTTTTTTGCTACGAAAAGCAAAATTTTTAAGTCCACTTTTCACTAATCAATTACTCTGCACAATATATAAACGAACCATCAATTACACTAGGGGCCACGAGAGTCAGCAGATGGTGGAAGCAAATACCAAGACTGGACTAGTGCGACGTTGCAACATCACCCATTTCTCTAATCTTTGACACTAATAAAAGAATAATAGACAATATTTTCAAATCAGCTTTATATTAGACTAGCTGTTGTACCCGTGCTTTGCAACGGGAAGAGGACACAAAATAAAAACATTTTAATCTTTATCTCTTGCATATAATAGTTACACATCCGCCAACGCTTTTAGAAACAAAATTTAACTTTTATGGCCTTAATAGAAACGTTTAAGTTATGTCTTTTAAATCTGGTAAGTAGTGGATACCACCATTTTGGTTTTGATTAATTTTAAATCTTGTGTAGGCTGATATGAGAAAAACTGACCAAATCTTCGAGTAAAACTTTGACATACATAATTTACCAGATTTACCTTCATCTCCCTTGATTACACATTTTTAAATTTATTATTGACATTTTAAATTTCAATTTTGAAGTTGCAAAAATACTAATTATTAAATTTAAATATCTTTATATTAAACTCTTCTTTAAATTAAATCACAAATCCTTTCATCTTAAGTTTTTTCACCCACAATAAATCATTAGAAAAACTAAGTCAGCTGTTATAAACTTTAGAAATATTGCTGTGCCTTATCAATACAGTCTTTTTAAATATTAAAGAAACTATATCTATAGGTACTATAAAAAATTTCAAACAAATAATTTAGAATTAAAGACAGCAGACAAAACTAATATGATTATCAAAGCATCAAGGACTAAAAAATGTAATAGCAAATACAGATGTTCCATTGCATCTCTGATTCTACTATACAAAAATATCAACAAACAACTTAATATACAAACCATTACTTTTAATCAGTTCCATCGTCCATTGCCTTTACATTTTCAGACTTACCATTAAGAAAACATAGTAACAGATATTTCATTGATTTTAGAAACAAAAGAACACTGTGTACTGCTTAGTTTTATGATATTTTCCTTGGTTTAATTTAATCAGTGGTGTGGCAAAACACAAATAATAAATGTATCAAATAAAGTAAATGTGAACTGAAAGCTATGTTAAGATAAAATAAGAGTATTTTCTATTTTGTATTACCATTTGATAATTAAATATAGTTACACATACATAGCCTATACAACAGATTTTAGAAAACAAAAATCAACGACAATTTAGTAATTGATGATATTTTTAGTTTAATTTAAGCATAGGTTTAGCAAAACACAATAACTTAATTTACCTAAATATACATATAAAAAACAATGTGATGTGCAAGTTATGTTAAGTTAATCTAACACATGTGAAGCAGTTAGAATTTATTTAAAGTAGCCTCCAAATTCATACAAAACATCTATACATTGTAATTTTCATACTGTTTCCATGAAAACATATCAATAACATTATTTTCACTTAAGATTATTAACTTAAGACGCTTTAAGAATCCAAAGCAGAGCCGGAGTTAATACAGCAACGGCTATAATATCTTTTTTTCTATAATCATTGACATAGTTTTAGAATAAATAATCCATGATAAAAAGTTAGATTAAAATAAACCTACCTCATATTTATGGAACATATTATATTTAATTTCTTTGTATCAGCTGTCTGAAATTGTGAAATATGCAGTTTAGCAGTTCTTCTTGTTTACATTTAAATGTTAAAGCAAATGTAAACAAACATTGTTAGTGTTCTCATCACAGCCATGGAGACCAATCAATATTTACTTTTAAAATGTTCACCTGAGAACTTTTAAAGCCAAAGGGGCAAAGCCTGCGGTTGGTATCGAAATGTGAACAGTCCTATAATGGTCCTTGGTATGGTAACTATATTTTTGTAAAATTTTAGCCCAGTTGGTTCAGTAGTTTTTGCACCTATTAGTAATACACATACAGACACCATTAGATTTTTATATAATAGTATAGATTTAAAAACAGGGCGTGGTCCTCATTGGCTCCTTCGAAGTCACGTGGTAAATAGGCTCCTCCCTCAACTGCAGACTCTCGTGAACCGTACTGTAATTACTGTATGTTGTACGATGCACTTTAAATCATTGTAGGCAATTTAAAAGATATCATAATGGATGAGCTAAACGTATTAGACTTTTGGAATTCAGCTGTTTAATAAAATTAATACATTGAGTACAAACAAATAAGTACAATTATATTAATAAAAACCCAAAATAATAACGAAAATTAGGTCACTGTAACTGTAAAGCAAGTATGACTTATCCTAAGCTTCCTCTTCAGTGCTACATTGCTGTGTTTCAGCTTCAAAGTCATATTGTAATGTAGTATTGACTGAGACGTCTTTACTATCATTCAACATTTGTTGTATCTCTATAAACGTCTTGCCCTTAGTCTCTGGAACCAAGAGATAGATTAACATGAACCCCATCAGACTAAAGCTAGAAAAAATCCAAAAGTTGAGATAGATCCCGTAACTGTCAGTAACAACTTGGTACATTTTGAGGCAGACAAAACATGAAATGGTATCCGTCATAGTCGTCAAACCTGACCCAAAACCTTTTGTAAAAGATGGGAATAACTCTCCTTTCAGGGTGTTAGTTAATGGCCCCAAGCCGAGGGAGAAAATCACACAGTAAATCATGACAGACGTCATAAAAACCCAGCTATATGGGGAAAGGTCCATTGCGAAGTTTGTATGTAAGAAGCAGAACAGACCAGATATGAACTCAGTGATGCAGCAACCAAAACACGAAATCAGTAACAGTGGTCGTCTACCCACCTTGTCAACCAGAGCGCCAGCAAATATAGTAGTGAGAAGAAGTAAAACACCCATGATGATAGTGGAGTTGTCAGCTGTGAAGGTAGAGCCAGTAGAAGCAAACATATCTGAAGAATACGACAATACTGCAGCGATCCCACTCATGAACTTGGTCAAAACCACGATCTCGACAATCATAAGAGCTTTGACATTAGCACGAGTCACAACTGAATTCTTCCAAGACCTGTTCTGTTCTCTCTCCTCTTCAATCGTCTTCTTCATGCTATACAGTTCTTCTTCGATGTCTGCTGTTGCTCTCAACCAAATCAATGAATCAGCTGCTTTTACTTGATCGCCTTGCATCAAGTAGTAATAAGGCGAATCCGGTATACAAATAAATGTCACAAAAAACACTATTGGTACTGAGCAAGTGACTAGTGTGAACGAGGTGAAAGAGAGATGCGGACCTAAAATGTACTCCATAAGTATTCCTGTATACCACATGGCCTCGAAGAATGTCGTCAACGCTCCTCGTACATCTTGGGACCCGATCTCCGCCAAGTAGACGGGTAGCACTGTGTATATGACGCCCATGGCGAGTCCTTGAATGGTCCTAGCGATGTAGAGAGATGTGACTGACTTTATAGTCACAATGCAGAGCCATGACATGACGTAGACAGGCGCTGTAGCCAAAAGAAGGGACTTTCTACCCCAGCGATTAACCTTGAAATAACAAACAAATGTTAGTTAACTAATTTAAAGGCCTTAAACTGTACTTTTTCATAATATTAGTTGGTCTTTAAGCTATAATATACACTCCTTAAGAGAGAACGAGGGAAATACTTTCACGTTCCATTTATATTTCCACCATAATTCATGACAAAAACAAACTTTCATAATTATTTGCAAATCTACATGAATAAACTGTAGATTTAGTTGTATAAAGATTAAAAAAAATTAATTATATATAAGTGGATGCGGAACATAGACAATGGAGAACTATGCAATTATTAACAATTCAACTCTATTGACCAATGATGTTATTTACATACTGCACTATCCCATGACTGTTATAAGTGATTTTAAAAATATTTTAAAATATGAATTATCTATGTAAATTGCACCAAAAGGTGTGTATAGCTATAACATATGCTGTGCCAAAATAATCATGCAGTGAGTAGAAACGTTTATAAATTAAGAGTAATAGTGTAATGAATATTGATTATATTTGAATAAGAGTTCAACGAATTTATTACCAAAGAAAAATTATCCGGTGAAAATGTATTAAATTAGACAATTTTCCTTCCAGCTAACTTTAGCAAATGGTTTAACGCATTATGGTTTGACGCTATTACACATTCTAGTGACTATGAAGCTCGCCTATGTAAACAGTAAACAGCCAAACTCCGGAAAATGGTTTAATGGGTCAAAATAAAGAAACATTTTAATAACATGTTTTCCAAAACCGCTTCGTTAACCAGATATTCACCATTTTTTTTTTCACATTAATATATGTAACTTAAAAGTTATTCAACCGATCATTATGAAACTTGTATGTATTTTAAGCATTGACTAAAAATCACTTGATTCATCATAACATCTCAAAATGGCAGCCATTTAAATTTTTTAAACTTCAATTACAAAAAAATGGATGATTTTATGAAACATTTACATGAATACTTTTATTTGGCATGTTGAATTCCCTATCAAATGGTACCAAATTCAAAAGGATCGAATAAGAAATAGCTGAAATATTAAGATTTTTAGTTGTAAAATGGGATAGAAAAATGCTAAGCTAGTCAGTTTTGTCCCATTTTACAGCAAGGATTTTTAAGATAAATATATTAGTTTGAAAAAAAAAATGGCGAATAGCTGGTTAACGAAGCAATTTTGGAAAAAAAATATTTTTGATTTTCCCATAGATTCATTTCCCAGAGTTTGACTTTTTACTTACGGGACACCCTGTATGTAAAAGAAGGGCACTGATACGAACCTGTAAACTTAGGTACATATAAATTTTTTTGGGAGTGTCTTAATCCATCTTGGCTTTCGATAATCTGCTTTGGTGGAAGAATTAATTGTTTGTTTAAAACAGTAGCATGCGCTCACCAGCAACAAATTCATCTCTCATCCCTATTGGGTTGAAATATGCGCAGTTATGTGTACTAATATAAATTATTACATAGTGCTTGCTATTAGGCAACATGTATCACGTTTTACTAAGGTTGTCTTGTCTGTAATAGTAGTCGAAATAGAAGAACTAGACAATTTTGAAATCGTAGGGTTTGACATTAGATCCAAGTTATTAACTTTTTTCAAATACTGAAATATATTTAAACAAATATCAAGTCTTATTTGAAATGTAATAATATGCGAAACAGTGTGACAATAGCAATTAGACAAGCAATGGAACGTCGGCAGGGTACAATTCTAACACTATTTGATTTTTCGAAAGCTTTCGACTGCGTAAATCATAATCTTCTTCTGGAAAAGTTAAGGGCCATAGGGTTTTCAATCGGTGTATTGGACTGGCTGGGATCTTATCTGTCAGGCAGGCGGCAATGTGTTGTGGTTGATGACGTACGATCTGACTGGGAGACAGTTACTTGTGGTGTGCCTCAGGGGTCAATACTTGGCCCTCTGCTGTTTGTACTATACATAAATGACCTGAGTTCAGTCCTCACACACTGTAAATACCATATGTATGCCGACGACTTACAGATTTATACACATTTCTCAGCAAAATATATCAATGACAGTGTTCTAAAAATCAACGAAGACATCGAGAAAATCATTACCTGGACTGATAAACATGGACTTAGACTAAACCATACAAAAACAAGACCAATAATAATTTGTCATTCACGTTTACGAAACTCAATTGACTTTGACACAGTGAACTCAGTAACTATAAATGGGACAGCTTTACTTTACTATGACAAAGTGAAAAATCTAGGACTTACTATAAACTCGACGCTTACCTGGGGAGATGCAGTAGTAGACGTACGTAAAAAGGTGTTTGCATCAATCCACTCACTGAAGAAGTTACATAATTTTTTACCTTTACACATAAAGTTACACCTAGTAAAATCAGTTGTTTTCCCTCACTTCACTTACTGTAACTCTGTGATCAATGACATGACTGTAAATCTCGCTGATGCTCTCCAACGCACTCAGAACTACTGTTTAAGATTTGTTTATGATCTGAGACGTAATGAGTGCATCACTCCTTTTTATGTTGATTCTAAATTACTAAAACTATGTGACCTAAGATCAATAAAAATTCTTATGATAACCTATTCAATATTAAAAACAAAATTTCCAAAATATTTTTTAAACGACTTCAAATTTGTAGCTGAAGAAAGTGTAAGAAACTCACGTTCTGCCTCAGTAACTTTGCGTATGCCTCATCATAGAACGGCAGTTTATGACAGAGCGTTTGTTGTTTCTGCTTGTCGCCTTTGGAATGATCTCCCTCTAGCCATAAAAACCCTTGATAGCCGTCCCCGGTTTGTGACAGCACTAAAAAATCTGTTTTCTGGACGTATGGCCATGGTTGGTATATCCTAGGCGTGCGCTTGGTTGATCACTGACAGGTGTGCGTGTGTGTGTGCTAGTTCTTGCGAGTGTGTGTTGTGTGTGTGCGTGTACGTGTGTAGGTGTGTGCGTGTGTGGGTGTTTATGTAAGGTGGTATGTTTTAAAAGTTTATTGTTTCTTTTTACATTAAATATTGTAAATAGATTATAGTATTTTATTTGTATTGTAGATTGTTTTGTTTTATTTGTATGTTTAGATTTGTATAAACAGGTTAAGTGTAAGAAAGGGCCATGTGGCCCTAACTTTGCCTGACTAAATAAATCATTTTTCATTTCATTTCATTTTTCATTTCAATAGCTAACTTTTTTATTATAAGAAGAACAGTTTACAGAGAAAATGCGAAGAGTAAAGAAGTCTTAAAATTGCACCCTACATTCTTATAAGACCATAAAATGCAGTTTTCCATTCTTCTAGTTGTCTGCCCTTTTGGAAAATGATGGCCATTTTTGAAGTAATGGAATCAATATTTTTGTAATGTATTTTATGATTTTTTTTGAAAATGTAAACACTTTTTCAAGATTTATTTACTCCTCGTATTTCCTCTCCGAACTTACTTGTTCCTGTTCAGGAACTACGTGATGCATAATGTACACTGAAAACTATTTTTTCTTGGGTTTATCTAGCTGTAACTCTCAAACGAGTATCTAAAGAAAAAAGTGTCATGGCATAAATACGTTTTAAATTGTATTTAAAAACAATTATAAAATACAGGGTGTTGCATAAAAAATAAGTTGTCAGCCATATTGGAACATGGTGGTCATATTTTTGGAATTTGGAACAATAAAAAAAAATAATGGAGAGTTTCCCATAAAAAGTAAACTGTCCTTATCAGCTACTGTCACACTTAAGTTAGTTCACCCTGTATATAAAAAGACATTCACCAATAATCCGGCCGGAATAGAAGTGAAGAGGTTGCCAAACTCGATCAATGCGACGGCCCATGAGCTCTCTACATGCGTGAGAGGTATAGGGGAGTCCGGAGAGTGGAATTGTGAGAGTAGAGGAGTCACCCATCCGTAGCTACAGCCGGCGGCCATCACTGACAGCGAACCTGACAAAACACCCTTCTGTACTACAATAGTGTATAGTATACCAACCACCAGCAATGCGGATAAGGTGGTGAAGTAATGTGTGTAAACAAAACAAATACACCATCAGTAAATAAGGTTGTCCTGCTAAAATTGTATCAAAACAAGAGTTAACTTGGGTGCCTTCTACAATTTGTGTACTGATGGAAGAAATACAAAATTGTAACGTTTTTAATAGTATCACAAAGGGGGATTTTTTAAAAACATATTATTGCTGAATTTTCGCTCGTGTTTTTGGTTTTCAGAGTTTGTTTATTTGTTAATTTTAGTAAATTTCCTCAAAATAAAGTAGGAAAGGTATTTTAAGAAGAATGGTCATATTAAACATAATGAATTCGAAGCCTGCTTACCAACCCTCTTTGAACAGTAAAATGTTAGAAAATCATCGGATAAAAAGACAAATAAACACGGTTTGTAGAGATGACGTACCGTAATGAAAGGATAGTGAGGAATTACTTACTGTAGTTAGTAATCTTAAAATTAATAGATAAGTGTTTAAGGAATACAAGACGATTGTTATTCGTATTTCAAATAAAATAAACTTAAACCATGCAAAACCTATAAGGAAACATGTCTAAAATCTACAACATTTTTACAGTACTTGGGACCGAGCTTTGATCGGAGATAAATCATTAATATACTCCCAAATCAATATAATTAACTGTATCTATCCAACAACGGTTTCAGTATCAATCAGTAATCGGTAAAAGTCCATTATGGCTTTTGGTGTAATCAGCTACTATGATATATTTTTATATTCCTACCCACCTTATATAGATGAGGTTGAGATTTTAAGACTGTACATATAGATTTGTAGGTGCTAAATCGCAATATGTATATATCTTCATGTATTTGTATATCTTCAGTGCTTGTTCATATGCTCATTCAAGTCAATAGTTAAGTTTCAAATCCCTCAGAATAAACTAGTTAGGCGCAAAAGTCTAACCTATAAATGATTTATAGTGCTAAGACAAGTGAACTCAAATTACTTTACATAATCCCGATAGCTAGTTAGCATGTATAAGGTTGCCTTATCGTAGTTGTCTAAGTATTCAAGATGCGAGTTGACTATAAAACAGCTGGCAATAATCCAACGATCGTGCGTTTGGTTCTATAAAGTCAATGGTTCGAGAGTCACTGAGGTGTGCAATGATCAAAACCGGTACTGCAATATGTTTTGTTGTTTGACGGAAGTGATTTAACAAACAACTTATAACAATGTCTTAATCGGAACAATTTCTTAAGTTTATTAACTGTGAAAAGTTGTTACAGCGGAAATAGTATTCTGGTCAAAAACATTATGTAGGTGGTTTTAGAGTGAGTAGTCCAAAGCTCTTGGTGTAAGAACAGTTAATTTTGTAAATTAAGAAGTTTTCCCTTAGTTTAACTCTATTAGTCAAATATATTTTACTAACTTTGTTGATTATACAGTACATGAATGAATGAAACTGTGTGCGTAATATCGTTTTAAACTATTTGGTATGGAATAAAACGTTTAGATTTTGAATTTAAATTTTCGTGCGCAAAGCCATGTATTTTATAAGGGGAAACTAGTGCTCTGCAGATACACATTGTAAAGTAATTTTTATGAAATTCGTGTTGATTTCAAATTTATTTGATTAACTAGCTCTAAGTTTTTGGTATTTAACGATTAATTGTAAGTTTATGTTTATGCATTATTACGATAAACGCATGCACAAAATCATGGTTTATAGCTTTTTATTCAGTGTTAGTGGCTTTTTGCATCTCAAAAATTACTAGGCCTACTGTCATGTTTTAATAGATCGTATAACACAAATTTTGTGTGGTCGTACACAGTCGTACACCAAGGATAATTTCCAATTTATTAAATTTGTATTACTAACCACAAACTATAGACATAAACAACCTAATAAATATAATACTCATAAAATATTATTAATACATTAAAAGTTTAACAAAATCTTCAACATCCGTATAGTATCGTTGAATAAAGCATTATAGATGGTTAATGATGAACTATTACTATATATCAATAATCAAACACTGATATTACCTATGAAAGCTGCCACAAACTGTCTGGTCAGTCCCTTGTCCATCTTGAACCTAGCTAAGGCAACGTAGGCCAGGGGACATACTACAGTAATACCAACCGTAAGCTTACGAGAATAAAAATTACCTGCTTTTACCTGCAATAGTGTCTGAGTGGTAAAAATGGTTAAATTTAAAGCTAGGGGTTTTGTTGTTTTAAATGTATTATTAAAACATACATACCTTAGGAATCAACTATAATCATAAGTGAACATAGACAATTTTGATTGATGATGTTGTTGCTTATAGTTCAATTGAAAAAGTGTTTTCCAACTATTCAGCTATTTTAGCTGAATGGGCTTTAATATTTCATTTCAATCAAAATAATATAAATACGATAACAGAAGGTATTTCGAAATAAATAAATAACAGTTGTATATCGTCGTATTTGAAGTTTGAAGATGGACTTATGTCCGAAACATGTCCCTTCTTTTAAAAATATAATATTCAGGGTGTTTAATTGTACTTATTTACTACAATAATTTAATATATTATGTATATTATATATTTATATTATTATATTATATAATGCTTATACGTTATATGGTGCGTAACACTAGGGAACTATAACTTATCAACCAACAGTTAGTGCTTGACGAACATTACGATTGTGATGCTTGTTATGCAATGCAGATCGTCACAATTACCACCATCAAATTATTGTTAACAGTAACATCATAATTATAGAGTTGACGTTGCACTGTGAGAGCTTTAATGAGTCCAGACGTGCCGAGAATAATGCATACTTCTCAGGTAAATTATTCTTTAAAGTACCTTGCTAAAGATTCACAAATATAACTCGAAAACTATCTGAAGGTCAGTCTAAAGTATTTTTGGTTGTATAGGTGATGATTCACCTAAGCAACCGTTACTGACAGTTCTTAGATCTATCTGTCTTATGTTGTTTTTTTTTAATTTGTTTTAACCAATATGGGCATCAGATGTGGTTGATATTTGTTTAGGTTTACTTTCAGATTATTAAATAATTTCTTTTATAATTACAAGTCTCTCAGATCTCATCGAGTCTAATAATTAATTTGATTATTCGACATTCTCTGACACTGCAATAGATGTGTGGTTTTGTAAACAAGCTCAATGACGTTAATTTGATATGGGATATGTAGGACCGTCTATGCATGGGATTCATGAATCGGCCATGTGTAGCTCACAGTGCTTTACTAACTCATAAGAATAATATTAGGTTTCAAATAATTCATATATTGCATAAAAATGTAACACGGTATTTGAAAATCATAATTCTAACCAATGAAACCTTCGTTCTGTAGATAAAAAATCGTTACCCGTGTTGTAGGAATTGATGCTTGTGTAGGAACGATTTGTAATTGCAGGTTAAACAAAGCGGGTTATAACTTCTATACCGTAAAAGTATTTTACACCTAGAACTCCAGATATTTTCTGTAGACTCCTTTAAACATTTAGCTAGCTTACTTGTATCAAATTCAAACGACTACACTTCAATTGCATTTAAAAAGAAAATGTAGTTAAAGCTGTAAAGGAGCTATTTGATTTTTTTCTTCCACCATAATCAACTCTTAAATCACGAGGGCGCAATTGGAATAATTACTATCCGTTGTATGAGATGTTGGGATATATGTTAAGTTTTTACTGCTCCTTACCAAAGCACTGATAAAACAATATGTGAAAACAGTCCTATGTATGCGATTTACACGGATTTATAAGGCTTTATGAGTCTTCTTTGAGACAAATATCTATCCACTTAAAGACATCATAGTTGAATGTCTATAGTAAAACAAACAAAACCTCATTCATAAATGAATTTCTTGGATATTATTATTTAAAATTTTGTTTTACATCAACATTATTAATTTATCTTTATATTTCCTTATGTTAAAAAGGTTAAAATATTTCATCCGTTGGAATACAAAAATACTTAGTAGCCTATATAAAAATGGGTTGAAATTATATTACGTATGGATTGTTCAAGACTGACTAAAAGATGTATTGTTTTACTTAACACTTTTCATATATTTATGATGCATATTCTAAAATTTGAGGTCTAAATTTGAATGATTTGTAAATGTACTGAATGTCCAAAATGTTAACAGGATAAGGACAGAAATGGGGTTGGTTAAAGAAGTTAGCAGTTTTATTGTACAATAAAGTCCTTCCATCCAATCAGAACGTTGAGGACGGAAGTTGGTTAACTGTTTCAACTCAGCTGTGTAGACCTGAACTGGGCTGTTGTGTCACGCTGTCTTTGGTTTTAGTTTATTCCAAGATTAACAAATCATTAATTTAACAAACAATCAGTTACAAGATAATCATTAGTTTAACAAACAATTAGTTACAATCCTAAATCTCAAGCCCTGATGGTTAACGAACAATACGTGTAGTATAACAACCTCAACAGCACCAGTCGAAATCTACGGGTTTAGCCTTGTCTGTACTCATTTCTCAAACCAATGACAAAATCTTAAAATAAACTAATTAGTGCAATACAAATATGTTTTGACAAAAAAAAATGTTTAACACATTATTACCAACAATAGTATGAAGCAAAAAACGTTTTTGAGCAAAATTAAATTATAAGTATGATTTAAAAAATTTTATAAAATATTTTGTAATTTTTTAACATAAAATATTTTTTTTATTTCAAAGGTTTTTGGTTGTCATGGAAACTGATTCCTATTATTGTTCCTTATCATATGAGGAACACACACACCAATTTTTATTGAAATTGGATTATAATTGAGGAAGAAAAGTGTACCTGACTAAAAACCACTTGACTTTCGGAAAACGACAAAAGTACCCCCTGTCACGGGTAGTAGTAGGACCCTTGGGCATGCTAAAGTAAGAGTGTATAAAAGTCGCTGTATAGCTTAATATAATTTTTTCTTACATAATATTTGGTATGTACGTGTTCAGGAAAGTGTGTTCTACAAAACTAAGTAATAAAAAATGTAAAAAAAAATTAATATTTGACGGTGTACCCTCTGCGTCTTGATTAGTAGTAGGACCTTGGACATGCTAAATTAGGCTGCAATCTATCTATACTATTATAAAAAAGAGGTGGTTGCTGTATGTATGTATGTATGGGAAAAGTAAACTCGAAAAATACTGGTCGATTTGGGCTGAAATTTGGCATGATGATAGCTCACATTCCCGATTAACATATAGGCATATTCTTATTTCAAAAATCCTTTCGGGCTCCGCCCCAGTGGCTCTGGAGTTTCCCATGTTAACCTTATGAGAAATGGAATTATTGAATCTTAACAGCTGTTTCAATTAAACAAGTTGGTTCTGGTAAAGTTACAAGGATTACCAACAGGCTGCAGCACTATTATGTCTTTTACATTTATGACAACAGCTAATTTGCAACCAAAAGGTGAGTGAGCGTAGCGAACGAACTTCAACCTGGAGGCGAGTTAGCGTAGCGAACGAGCTAACCTGAAGGCAAGTGAGCTCAGCGAACGAGCTCCAACCTAAAGGTGAGTGAGCGTAGCGAACGAGCTCCAACCTAAAGGTGAGTGAGCGTAGCGAACGAGCTCCGACCTAAAGGTGAGTGAGCGTAGCGAACAAACTTCAACCAGGACGTGATTGAGCCATGCGAACGAGATAATCTTGAAAATTAAGAAGTTAAACGGGGCAAAGCCCGCGGGTTACAGCTAGTAGTTTATAAAAGTAGCTGAAAATTTTAAAAATAATTTTTTTCTTCCTCAAATTTTATTATCTACGTGTTCAGAAAAGTCTGTTCTACAAAACAAAATAATTAAAAAAATATAAAAAAAATTTTACATTTGAGTACTGTGTTACCTTAAATAGACTGATGCAATAAAACCTTTAAATTTAACTTTATATTATGAGTAAAATTACCACGCCGCAGCAAACCTACAGTCTCAGAAAATTTCCATTTGACTGATCGAATGGTTAATTTAATGAATATAAATAAAATTGGCTTATTATACCATATTATGAGCCATATAAAATTGGCTTATTAAACCTTATGTTAAATCAGCCAAATGGAAATTCTCTTGATCTGCAGGTTTGCTGTTGTGGAGGTATTTTTTTATTTAAATCTTAACGTGGGTTCGCATGCTACTCGTGGTATCTTTTAAGTACTTTCTTGTACTGGTCGCTGTATATGTGGTTTTGTAGCTTTCAAAATAAGTTAAGGAATTTAAAGTTATACAAACGAAGCATTAACAAAGTGTCTTCATATATCAACCATATGTATTTACCCACCAACAAACTTTTGGTATACCTAAAAACTTTGATTAAGCACGTCCCCACAAAAAAGTAATGATGTACACAACTATTTTAGAAATACTGCATAACAATAATGTCAAAATGCAGAAGAAAGACCTCATATAAAGTAATGTGTATAAATTCAGTAAAACTAAAAACATGATATAATGTTTTTAGACAAACTAAGAACTTTAGTGATGTTGTTTGAGATCACTTAAAATGTATGGTTATAATTTTCAGTTTTGCAAGACGATTTAACTGATTGAACATTTAATTAATGCTCAGTGTCATATTTAATCGATGTTATGATATATGGTAATGACCCTCGTTCTATTGAAATCGGCTTGTTATTCACGAATATTTTATGTTAATTTGGTAGTTAGTCCTTTAGTAAACAGAATTCTAAATTCAGTCCTAAATATAGCTAATTTAATTATTTTTCATTGTAATATTATTATATACAGGATTAAAAAATAAACTTTGTGAAGATTCTGCAACATTGTTGTTAATTATAACAATCACAAATAAAATTAATGTTACTGTTAATGTTAATTAATGTTAATGTGTTAAAATTACTGTTGAATTTTTTAAGTAAAGGCATTTCAAAAATTATAATTCGGATGAATTCAATTATTTTAATTATTTTAGCTGAAAACCAAAGGTTCAATTGTAACTGGTGTGCCAACCTAGAATTTCTCTCACCACACCAGCAATTGAGTTTCAATTTGTAACATCAGAACGTTTCACCAGAACTTAACAGGAAACACAAGACAGCCACAGGCATAACCAATCAACCAT